TTAAAGTTTCTGAGAAACAGTTTCCTCATCTCTAAAAACTCGTGGCTTGTCAGCTACCTGATCTTTGAGTTTCCTTCCAGCTATATTTCTAAACCTTGAATGCAGGAGAGAGAGCCACTCACAGATCACGTAGTCCTCGTAGTCCTCTGTGAAGGCATTCCAGGTCTGCGCTGGCCTCTGCACTCTGTGAAGGCTCCCAGCTTTGAAGAGTGTCTCCCTCCCCTCCCCGACTTGTGTTAAGCCTTTTCAGCCATAGTCCCAAGTTTTGAAAATGTATTTCCTGCTGTAACTGATGGGAGTCAGGGATCAGAGTGAACATTCTTGGTGTCTTCCTCCTTGACACATAAATGACTGATTTCTAGGTAAGGGTATGCCATCTTTTGGTGCCTGTCTTCCATGACAAACTCATTGGCCTCTGGTAACTGGGGAGCAGTGCTGTTAGGGGACTGCATTTCAGGAGAAATGGACCCAGAATGAATGTTCAGTGCTTGCTCTGAACTGATCGCCGGACCATGCACCTGGGCTGTGGAGGTGAGCAGGTGCTGAGGACAGAATGGAGGCGAAGGGTCCATAGGTGACCAGGACCTGATGCACTAAGTATGAACAGAAGCACAAACAACACTGGTGGAGTGGACAGGAGGGAGAGTCAAAAAGCTTTAAAAATACACTAGTGCCTATAATTCAGTTTAAATTTTACAATCATCCTGTGAAGTTGGCATCCTCCTCTCCCTGTGCTCAGAGAGGTCGAGTGGCTGACTCAAGATTGCCCAGCTAGTAAGCAGCAGAACCTTAGGCCAAACTAAGGTCTCTTTGGCCCTTGGCAGAGTCAGACTTGGACTTCACATCAGGGCACTGCAAGGTCTTGGGGTAATTTGAAAAGGAAGGTGAAACTTGTAGCATGAGCAGCAATTCTGTGCAAATGTGAAAACTATTTTGTTTTCCTACATTTCCCTATGTTCTGTGTGTCTCCTGATGACACTGAGTTGCTGTGGCACCGACTGCCTTACTGAAGTTAGTGTTGTAAAGGTCAGGCAAGTATCTGTCTTTCCCCAGGAGCGAGTAGGTGGGCAGAGAGGAATCAGGTGGGAACTCTGATAGTGCCATGATGGTAGTGGGCTGGAGCGGCAGGGACTTGCAGTGGTTCCTGAGATGGCTCTATGGTGTTGGGCAAGGTTAGTTTGGGAAGTGCCTTTTGTCTCTGGGGCTAAGAAGCCAGTCACAGATGTGGATTTGAAGGGAAAGAGCAGATAGAATTCCTTATTGCAGCTCAGGGCCTTCAGTCCAGGGAAGCCACACACTATGTGGATGCCCCTGGCCTTAAGGGACTTTGGAGACATCTGTTTTGTCCATGGTTATGTCCCCTGTACCCAGAGTAGTCTCTACAGTATGTGCTCAGTGAGTGCTGGTATATTCTGGAGAGATCTCTGGCCTGGAATCCCAAAGACCTGAGTTTGAGCACTATCTGCAGCTGCTTGCAGAAAAACCACCACCTTTCCCAAGACCCGATTTTCTCATTTTCAAAAAGAGCAGAGGGTTAGCACCATGCAGGATCTCATGAAGACCAGCAGAGTGAGTAGCAAGGTGTGGAAGTGCCCCACAGCCAAGGACTCAGCCAGGTTGGTGGGTGGGGACAATTTCCTGAGCATCTCACAGAGACATTCATCTCCCTCCTCCCCAGAGGACCTCACATGGGCACTGACAGTGCTTAGCACCTGTCTTCTTGGAAGGTTCTGGAAGAAGGCAGGTCCAGAACAGAAGATTCAGTGCCTTTGCTGTCAGTTTCTCAATGTACAGCCCTCCTCCCCAGCTGCTGGCAGGGCATCTCTGCCAACTGCTCAGGATTAGGGGAGGGATGGAGAGCTAGTCACCAGTGTCCCAGATCACTACCTGGGAAGGCAGATCCAGGAAGGAAGAGAAGGGGGCCGAGTCTCAATCAGGTGGTCTTGGGCTTCTCTACTGACAACTCTGGGACCTTACACAACATATTAAACTACTCTGAGCCTCAGTTTCCTGGTTTTTAAGTGGTGATAAATAGAATCTTCCTTGCACAGTGTTGAGAGAACAGTAGTGAATGCAAAGCTGTGAGCATGAAGCCTGGCACTTAGTAAATGCTTAACAATGACAGTGATTCCTCAAGGTTAGCACTGTTACTGGCGCAGAAGGTCTGAATGGAAGATGCAAAGGGAGAAGAGCTGTTAGAAAGGAGAGAGCCCAAGATCAAGTGTTCAGAAGGAGCAGCGGAGCTCCTGGGCCCTGTTCTGTTTCCCTGGGCTCATCCCACATACTCCCTATCCCCTCCCTCCCTTTTTAAGCAGCTATAGGAAATCACACCCTAGCATGTGATGCAAGAACATAAGCCAGAGGTATGTACTTCCATTCAGTTGTAAAAGAAGACATTGCCCCATGAATCCTTCCAACTGCCCTCCAGGACTGCTGGTATAATCCTGGTTTTGGAGGTGTGGATTTGTAAGCTTACTTAAGTAATTGGGGTGACACAGTGAGTCAGGTGGCAGCAGGGAATGCAGTCAACCACAATCCTGCTCTACCAGCCTGACTGTGGGTCCCAGGTCAGAAAGAGAGGTGTGTTGGTGACAAGTCCACTCAGTATGCTGGGGTTATGCTCCATGTCCAGCAGCAAGGATACCACAGGTTGGTGTTTGCCAGCTGTCCCAGGTAGCTATGGCTGAAGAGAAGGCAAGCAAGGTTCAGAAGGCCCAGAAAGCAGCCATGCAGGGGGAAAAAACCCAAAACAAAGAACAGCTAAGTATTTATTATACACTGGATACTGTTAGGGCATTTTTTTATGAGTTAACATACTTAATCCTAATGACCCTCTGATGAAATAGGTTCCATTGTCATATCCACTTGAAAGATGAGGAAACTGAGGCACAGAGAGGTGAAGAAACTTGCCCAAGGATCACAGCTAGTGAGTAGCAGAGCCAGAATTTCAAGTCCAGAGGCCATGCATTTAACTGTTTCATTTTACTGCCCTTGCAAGTTTAGACCAAAGAGAGACTTGAGGAAGATTCTTATCTGGGACTCTGAAATGGCACTTCATGTGGGAGTCAGGTCAGTCTGAGGTGGAGTACAGGTGAGTGCTTGAGAGTAAGGTCAGTGGTACAGGGCCTGGGACTTAGAGCTCCTGACATTGCTACTTTCACCACCTCTGGTTGTAGAGCTGCCTTCATTTGCATTTAGAATAGGTGGTTGCTTGGTTTTGGAGGGGGGTACTGTGAGGACTTGACTCCAGGTTATTGGCTTGAGTGGCATGCCATTGACTTATTCTTTCAGTGAACATTTCTGGTGTCCCCCACACCTGCCTGCCCCATGCACCAGGCTCCATGGATCTCCCCCCCAAAAAACAAAACTCCAACTCTGCCCCTGAGATGCTCATGGCCTAATTGCAGCTGTGAATGACCTCTTACATTGCTGAGGGCCGCAAAGAAGTGATCAGCTTTGCTGAGGAAGTCCTGGAAGGCTGTCCAGGGAAGGTGACATTGAGGACAGGAATTGAGGTGGGAGTTTAAAGGCAAGACAAACACTTTGAGTCCTTGGCTTGCTGGGGGACATTTACTACACCTGCTTTCAGAAATCTGAAAAGGGCTTGGGGAGCATTTGCTGGGCGATTGGGGAGGAGGCGGAGAGGGACAGAGGGCATCGCCACCTGAACGCGGTGTGTCCAGGGGACTCCCCCAGGAGGGGACGGGCTCCTGCACGGCTCACTCATCCGTGTCCAGGCACAGCCGGTTTATGGCCAAAGAGAATGACAATCCAGTAGCAAGTCGAGATGACAAAGACGCCCAGAAGGGCACGCGCTTTTATGTAACCGACCTCTGAGCAAGAGGGTCTCGGGAGGTTGGAGCTCAAAGCTCGCGCGCCGAGGAAGGACGGCGCCCCAGCGTTATTTTCGTGTAAATACTAGAGAAAGGCAACGCGACTTAAGTTAGAGAAGTCCGGGGAGCTTTAAAGAGCAGGGCGGTTCGCTCCCTTGCCTTCCCCCGGAGCCTGGCTGGGGCGAGCCCGGGTCGCCCTTCCTGGCTCGGTCCTCCTCCCCTCTTCCGAGGATCGCTCGCTGGGTAACCTTGGGCGAGCCACTTGACCTCTTTGGGCCTCAGTTTCGCAGTCTGTGCGTCGGGCAATGCCATTATAGCGTCGTGGGGCTCCCCAGTCGACCCGCGGAGCCAGAAAAGGGAGCCGGGCACGCGGGAGGCGCCCCGGGACCGCCCGCTCCCCGCGCGTACCCCGCGCGCCCCTGAGGACCAGGGCGCAGCCTGGAGCTGCCCCACGAGGCGGCGCGCGCCACGGCGGTCAGGCGCCAGCGCGCAGCGCGCGCCCCGGCGGGGCGGGCACGCGGGCGGGGCGGGGCGGGACGGGCGCGGGCACCGGCGCTTGGCGCGGTGGCTCAGAGTGCGCGGGGCGGCGCGCGGCGTGCGGGTGGCGGCTGCAGCTCCGGCGCCGGCGCGGGCTGGCGGGGCTCGCCCGGGATTGCCTCAGGGTAGCCGAGCGCGCCGCGCTGTCCGGCCTGAGGGCCCGCCTGACCGAGCCGGTGCGCGCCCGCTCCTCCTCGGCCCGCGCCCGGAGCGCGGGGGGCCGCCGGCGCTGGGCACTCGGCGGTCACCGGGGATCGGGGCTGAGCGCCGGATCCCGCCCTGTGCGCGCGCCGCCGGCCGCCCGCCCGGTTGGCCGCGCCGCGGCGTCTGGCGGGGTCCGCGCTGCTGGGGGCGCGGGCGGGGTCGGGGGTTGCCCGGGGCGGCCGCTGCCCGCGCGCCTCGAGTCCGCGTTCCGGGCCCCGGGCGGCCGGCGAGCATGGAGGAGAAGTACCTGCCGGAGCTGATGGCGGAAAAGGACTCCCTGGACCCCTCCTTCACGCACGCTCTGCGGCTGGTGAACCAAGGTGAGGGCGCGCCGGCCGTTAACCGCCGGCCCTCGGCGGTTTGGGGCCAGGGGACGGAGGAGGGTCGGGGACTGGGTGGAAGTGCGAGGGGCTTGGGGGACGCAGCTGTGGGGGCTGACTGGAAGTAGACATCGGGGAGACGGGAGGTTCCCGGGTAGCAATTCGGCGACATTTGGATGGGACCTGGGAGAATGTGGGACACCTGGGGGGAAGACGGAGATGCGCATTTGGGGGACTTGGGAAGGAAGGAGAAGGCTGGGGCATATGGATGGGACTTGAAGGAGACCTTTGGGGACTCAGGGATACCCAGGGGAAACTTCTGGATGGGGGACGGTGAAGATCTGAGGGCTTTGTTAGAGAGGAGCTTGAATTATCTCATTGGAGGGGAGAGTAGGGGGACTGGGGAACTAGGGTGTTTGGTTTGTCTAAGGAATTGGCGAAAGAGCTGGCGGAAAAATGGAAGGACTTGAGGGAATCAGATGCAGAAGAGGTGAAGGGAACAGGTGCTTGGATTGTTCGTGAAGTTTGGGGACCTTGGAAGAGGTTTGGGATCAGACCCCAGCACTCCGAGGAGAAGAACCCAGCGGTCCCAGGGGAAGAGCCCGGTTCCCTCTCCCAGCATCTGTTTCTCTTATGTTCAAGCTCTAAGAGCCCCAGCCCTGCGCTCTGCCTCCTTGGCGGTGGGCAGCTCCTGCCAAGCCTTGCCTGCTGGCCGTCGGAAAAGTGAGCGGGGGAGAAGAGACTGGCAAAAAAGCCCTTTTCTTGGCTTGCCTGTCCTCTCTTTGGGAAGCGCTGGGCGGGTGACCCTCATTGGTGGCTGACTTGTGGTTCAGAACATTGGTGAAGCAGTCTTTGTCATTTTCACATTACTCCGACCAGCTCAGGGTGTGAAAGGTCCTGGGAAGTACTAGACCCCAGGGATTACAGGGGTTTATGGAGGCACCCTACCCAGGGCATATTCCCCTGGCTTGCGTCTCCTCTGGCTTCCTGAATAATCTGCTGAGATGGACGGTAAATTAAGCCCTTCTTCCTGGGAGCAGTCCTCTACTCCTAGATCTGGAGTAGTGTTTCAGAGGAAGATGGGTTTGGGGGCCACTGGCCTGTTTTTTTCTCTGGGAAATGGCAGAAACATTATCTGGTCAGATCTCTTACCTTTTGCATGAATCACTTTGTGCAGCGACAGTCTGAGGTTCCCTAGATGAATCCTGTCTGCTGCTCTTAATGCTGGCCCTGGCTCTTTTATTGTTGGAAGTGAAAGATGAGGCAGACATATTCTATTTGTATATAGATACGTATATTTTAAAGTAGCGACCTCCGGTATTCGCCTATTGCAACCAGTTCTTTGGAGTAGGGTGTGTGTGTGTTGTCGACTGATGGTGGTGGTGGTGGAGAGACTCTTACTGTTCCCAAGAATTTGAGCATATTTGAATTGTTGAGCAGAAATAGATTTACAGAGCTCCCCCATCTTATTTTAATTACATGCTTATTTTCATTTCTTTAATAAAATAAGCTTCTGAAAAAGTAATGAGCACTCGTTCCTAAATTAAGGGAAAGGAATTTGAGTTTTATTCACGTGCTCTTCTGAACAGTTCTACAGTTAGGTTTGTACTCTTTGCTCTTCATGTTTTACATATATCTTTTGTTGCCTGCTGGGCTGTCATCTCTGTAAAAGAAATTTCTTTGTACATTGTGTGAAATCAGTGGTATTAGAAATATTCTGGACTATGGAATCAAGTGCATTTTTCCTAATAAAGAATCTGAATCAAAGTTACGTTGTGCTCAATTAAGGAAGCAGTTTAACTAAAAGTGTAGAGAGTTATCTTATTTTAAAAGTCAGAATTATTTTTGTGCCATGTTGTCGTAGTATTGTATTGCTAACACATTCAAAATTCTTTTGGTATCTGTGTTTTTACTAGTGTTAATGACTTGTAGTTACTTGAAATAGATATTTATGGGGAAATGTTGCCATTTAGTATTTTTTGGATGTTAAACTTGATTACCTTACTTTTCATAAAAAATGAAGTACATTTCTCAACATGGGAATGAAGAAAGGTGTTAATCAGATGCTTGTATTACTGTTAGTTTAGATTACTTCAGCCTAAAATGATTTTTTCTTAAATCACAGGCTGATATCGAGAATGCAGAGCTTTATCATTTAAAATATTAATTATGCTCTGTTATGTAATTCCAAAATTACAAGTGCCTTTCCAAAACATAGTGTCTTAAGTCTGAAATTAAGTGATTGTGAGGAAGCTTTGATTTTAAATCTGATAACCATCCTGTTATTTGCTATATGAAAGCTATTTATTCTTATTTCTCTATCTTTGTGACTATTTGCCTATAAGGAAACTATTTTTTCAGAGGTTATTCTGAATCTCGGCACTGGAATTGGTATTCCTGCACTAAACTGCACAGAGATGATGGGTCAGTATTACAAGCCTTTATTTTATTGTAGCATGACATGTAATGGCTATATTGTATGGTTAATACATCCCAAGGTTAACAGTACCTTATGTTTGCATAGTATTTGGAAGTTTCCAAGGCACTAGTTTAATCCTCATACTTGTATCCCTTGAGACAGATATTGGTGTCTCCATTTTTCAGGAAGGGAACTGAGGACCCTAGCTACATAAGCTTATAGGCAGCTGAGATTTAATTTGAACTCAAGTTTTATGTCTCTGAGGCCATTGTTCTTTCTACTTATGCTTTCCCAAAAAGATGGAATGAAACACTTCTCACATGCTGATTTAAAACCTTGCAAAAAATATAATTAATGTGATTATTTCTGGTTGACTTAAATATAAGGGAAATAATATGTTTCCTTTAGGAAGACTTATCTTGATTTTTTTTTTTTTTTTTTAAAGTTTCTTTCTCTACTTGTCTTCTTTGAAGAAGCAGACATTCCTGGTAGAGTTATCTTACAGGATTTTAATGGGCAGACCAAGAGACACTTTTGAATTAAAGCCCTCCTGTGACCAGTATATAAGCTTAATAATCAACACATTACAATAATGAAACAGTTTATAAATGAGGTATAGTCGTCTTTAAAAGTTCAGTATTTGTAAACAGTGATCAATTTCCTAACTGAATTACTTTTTTTCTAATAATCTTTAATAAGAACTTGAGCTAGGATGACATAAAGAGGTACACTCCTATATAGTGTAGATTGGCTTTTATACTTTTTGCAGACGTGTGTTTTGTGGTAGGCATTAGTTACTGATTTTATTTTTATTTTCCTAAGATAACTGGTTCCCTTTCTCTCAGACCCCAAATATTGAATTTGTTTCTCTAACAAAAGTAATGGGTCATTGTGTATTTGATGTTAAAACTCAAAGAAAATAGGCTTTGATGCTCTTCCCTTCGCCCTCCTCCCAGCCCCCCACTAGTGCCTGTAGGGTGAATTGATATTGCAGTTTCTTGCCAGGGAGGTTAATTGGAGATGAAAGTAGTGTTGCATATTTTATATTATATTTGCTAGTAAGGGATGTGCTGACTCTTACTGAAAAACATCTTCAGAAATGTCCTGTGCATTATAATTTAATCTAGCCCTCCGATAGATATTGGTTTGGATAGTTTTCAATCTAAGCCAAGTAATCATTAAATAAGATTATATAACACTATATTTTTAATTATCTGGTATAATGTATGGATTGGTGGCTGGTGCACTGCCAAGTTATATTTAGTTGTTGGTTACAAGAGGAAGTGGAGCAGAGGATTCAATATTAAGGTGGTCTATTTGTGTCCAGATTGATAAAGTTTTTTGTTGGTATTTCAAAATATTATTCACACTGTATCAATTTTTCAAGTATCAGGCCTCTTAGCATGACTTAGGATATATGTGAGAGATGCAGATGTATTAAGGGAGGATCATTTCTTTACCCTATGTGCATCTCTTTGAAATCCATAAACCCTGATGGTTTAAAATTCCAATTTTGGGGACTCCTTTTGGAAAATTTTCTGATTTGCTTGAATGACATCAGACCTGTAAAGTGAGATAGTAAGAATGAGAGTTGCAGAATTATATTTAGGTGAGGTGCCTTCATGCTGTAGTGTATAAGTCTCTGCTTCCTCCAGATGAGGATGTGGTTATTTAGTTTTTAGTTTGTAATTATTTTTCTTTGGCTTATCACTTTTTTTTTGAGACAGAGTCTCACTCTGTTGCCTGGGCTAGAGTGCTGTGGTGTCAGCCTAGCTCACAGCAACCTCAGACTCCTGGGCTCAAGCAGTCCTCCTGCCTCAGCCTCCAGCCTGTAGATGGGACTACAGGCACGCACCACCATGCCCGGCTATGTTTTTCTATTTTTAGTTGTTTGGGTAATTTCTTTCTATTTTTATTAGAGATGGGGTCTCGCTCTTGTTCAGGTTGGTCTCGAACTCCTGAGCTCAAGCAATCCTCGTGCCTTGGCCTCCCAGAGTGCTGGGATTACAGGGGTGAGCCACCCCGCCTGGCCAGTTTTTTTTGTTTGTTTGTAAAATGAATGGGATGACTCACAATTTCAGATAAACCATTTCTGAGTTCTGTATAGTGTATTAGGAATCAAAGTGGTATAGTGATTGTATGTTACAGTGTTTTGATGTTTGGACATTAGTGACATGCTTATTAAACACCTGCAATGCCAGTTATTTGTGCTCGGTGCTAGGGATAGAGAGGAAAGCCACAGTCCCTCCACCCCTGAGAAACTCTTGCTCTCATCTGGGTTAGTTTGAGAATGAGTTTTAAGTTTATTAGATGCTTTAGATTTCCTAAATTAGCCTATGGACATTTTTGAGGCACTTTTCTGTGCTAGGTCATGTTTGTAATCTTAGTACGGGTAACAGCGCAGAGATGGAGAGGTTATTAGCCCAATTTTTCAGTTGTAGAAACCAAGACTCTGACAACTAAAGTGACTTGCCCAAGGTGACATACTAATAAAGTGTCAGAGTGAAGGTTCAAGCCTTATTCTTTTCCAAGTCCGCTGTTATTTTCACCATGCCATATTGACCCTTAGAGGTATAAAGTTATTGGTCAAACTGTGATGGTACATTGTAATGATGTACATAGTTAATGACAGAAGGAGAATGTAAACCTGGGCCTTTAGGTAATGTGCAGTTCGTTATTTTCTGTAGCCTGTACTAAATTGGAAGATAAATTATAGAACATCTGTTTTCATACTTCACCTTTCAGTCTGCTCTGAGATATCTCCTCTGACCTCTTCCCTGCCTCCAGAATAGGTTAGATTGTCCATTTTCTGGTCTCTCGCATCACTGGGTGCTTACCTCTTAGGGTGTGATCTTGTTTGGATCTCTTTGTCTTCCCTGGTCCGGTGTGAGCTTCTTGGGAGGCAAGGCCTGGTCTTTCATCTGTGTGTATCTGTAGCACCTAGCTTGATTCTTGGCATGTAGCCCTTGGGAACTCCATTCTTCCTTTCAATATTACGTTGTAATCATCATACAGTTAGAAGAATTAGAAACTATATTTGGAGTTCACCAGTCAGTAAAGAGCTTTGTTCCTTAACACTTTAGAGCACCTGAATTGGGGGTGGGGATGACGTCTCTAACAGCTCTGCATGTATCAGTGGAAGAAGGTTTTGAGTGAAATGCAGTGTTAAGCAGAACATCCCAGTGCTCTTTAAATGTGGTAGAACAGTAGGGGTCCTTCTTTAGGAGATAATGAGAAGGATCTGTCAGATCTGTTTTGAATTAGATGTTTATTTACTTTTATTCTTTCTTGAGGAACTTATTAAGTCAGTGTAGTCTAATACAATTAGCTCTCCTTCTCTAAACTCCTAATGAGATTTCTTATTATAGATTAAAAACAAAATTATGGAGGCCCTTGTCACATGCCAAATAAGCCTTTTACCTGAAGGAGTTAATCTGCAATCTATATACAAAAGGGAAACCAAAGCCAAAGGAACAGTTGAAATTGCAAATTGAATGCCAACATTAACTTTGATATCAAAAGACCCATTTGCCTGTTGTCACCGGTCCCACTGAGTTAAGATACAATGGCTTACATTTTTTTTTTATCAAAACAATAGAACTAGAGTATTCCTTAGCATTGGGGATAATGATTATAATAAAAGCTACCAAATTGAGGGCCTCTTCAGTGCCAGGTGCTTTCTGTGCATTATCTCTCATCCCCACAAGATCTTGCAAGGTAGGTGGTTTTTCTCCCCTGCCTACTTCCTTTGTTTTTTTCCAAATGAGGCCTCAAAAATATAATGTAATTCGCCCAGTCAAGGTGCACAGCTTGTAAGTTGAAATTTCAGGCTGAAATTTTAAATCAAGTCTGCAGTGTTTTGATAAGATACTTTAAGAAAAGAGATTAAAGGACAGAACTCAACATTGTTGTTTTTAAATAAAAGTTTCATTATAGCAGAAGCCCCTTAGGAATTTTTACTGGTGATGAATTTTTTAAAAGAAGTTCCTGAAAATGTGTTTTACCAAAAAGGCAAGCTCACTTTTTTTCCTGTGCTTTCCAGCAATATTTTCCAGTCTTCAGTAGGCATCAAGGTCAGGAGTTTTAATTATGTATATATTTCAATGGTCAAAGAGAAAATAGAAAAACATTCTGTATGGGGAATTCATAAGTGAAATTCTTGGTAAAGTTCTTTCTTGAAGAGGTGCAGAGCTCCTTGTATTTTAATACTTTGTTTATCACAGAAACAGTTGGTCGAGAGTATGGTATCCGGGATTTGTAGTCAGTTTACAATATATTTAGAAACTCTCCATTCTCTAAACATAGGGTCAAAGAAGAAAAAAAGTGTCAAGAAAATAAAAAAATACAGTCCTACTGATAATGGTTTTGGCTTTCTGGAAGAGTGGAATATGTTTAAATACACTTACCTTGCAGTTGCTAATAATAATAATAGCTATCATTTATCAAGAGCCTTTTCTGGTTTATATGCTTTATGTACATTATTTCATTTAATTTTTCCGACAGTCTTAAAAGAGTAATTCATTTTACCATATTTTACAGCTGAGAAAACTGAGGTCAGGAAAGTCAAATAATTTGCTCAAGGTCATATTGCTAGTAAGTGGTGAGCCAGAATTCAGAGCCTTGTCTGCCCAACTCCAGGACCCTATGCAGTTTACCTATGAGCACCAGATAGAAGCTTTCACTGTGTCTGGCTTTACATGTTTAACTTTTGTGAGGAATTGCTATTATGCAGCTCTTCAAGTTAAATGCCTGGTATTGGATGAGTCATCTGGTGAGCTACATACTGTGCAGAGGGACAGGCAGTGTCATGGCAAAATGGCATAAGAATTGTCTGACCAAGGCCAGCTTGGTCATTGTGGTGGATGGCATTTACTTGGGAAACAGCGTTATTTAACAAAGGGACAAGCTGGTGCAGAAAGAGCCATGTGATTAAGGAAGGTGACCACTTTCTAATCTGTGACCCTGTGCAAATTACTTGATTTCTTGGAGCCACGGTTTTCCCCAT